AACTTGCGCTTAGATAGTGCTGCCATCTCTTGGTATAATAATTAATCAAAATGCCGGTTAAAGAAGAATTAGAGAAGGACGCCCGAAAAGATAAAAATCAAGAGAAAGAAAAAGAAAACGAAATTGATATATATCGAGATACGCCCGTAAGATTATTAGGTAATAAATTAATTATAATTTTAAAAATATATATTTAATTCGACATTAAAGAAATAATAATAAAAAATAAAAACAATTAGAGGTCACTCGGGTCGTGTAAAAAGGAAGCGTGCTGATTGTGTGTTATTATAATTACAGGATACGCTAACGAAGTGGGGGAGTCGTTTCGAGCACTTATTCACGTCCGTCTCGTACACGCCAGCTATGTAGTGGCTAGTGGTTATGTATTAATGGATACTCTAGATAAAGTCAAGAAAGTTAAAAAGGTCTATAACACATTTAAATATGAACATTTCTTATTAATAAACTTACTTATTACACGTCACTATGAAATAATACATGCTGTATCAATAAATGATTTATAATTATTATTTATTATAATGACCAGCTCTCTTGGCAAACAATTTAGCATCCTTCTTTGCCCCTAATCCAGTGAAGCTGAGTCTCCTCCATCCTCACCTCCATTTCCTACCACTCTGCAAACACCAATGTTATATTGCCAGTCCTTTTCTTACGTCTTCAGCTATATTGTTCATCTGCCTCTTTCTGGGTCTTCTCTTAGGTTTCCCCTCCATCATCATCTTCAATACCAACTTTGGTATTCTATTTTCTTCTATTCTCGTGATATATCCAAACCATTTTAGCCTAATTAGTTCTATCTTCTCCCCAAATTTTCTTTCCTGTTTTCCTTTGTTTTCAATGTTTATCGTGTCTTTTCTGGTCTTACTCATCATGCTCCTGAGGAATTTCATGTTGCCTGGATTTTTTTGTCTTCTCTCTATGATGTAGTCCATTAGCATCCTTCTGTAGTCCCATTTCTAAAATGAGCATCCATTGCTCATTTTAGGAACGATCTACAATCATTCTAGGGTTTTAGGTAGTGTTGACACCAGTCCTTTAGTAAGAACAGTTCTTTCTTCAATTGCAGTACCCTTCCATGCATATTTAGTGATAAAATGTTCTTTCTAACAGCAAAATGAATAGAAAAAACAAAGATGTTGCAGCTAATGTTGATGGCTAGCATTTCTAGTGTAACTTATTTAATGTTTCTCAACACTAAATAATTTCTGAGATCTGAAAGATATTGCAAGACATTCCTTGATTAAACTGGGAGCTGTCCTCAGTTATGATTCCATGTACATGTTATATCATTATTGTCCTTACTTTTAAAATTGAAAGGTAGCAACACTAGTTGTAGATCATCCCTGTAATGAATAAGAACACCTAAAAGAATCGTGGATTTAGGAATAACCATGCATTATCTCGATGGAAGATAACTTATCTCTCCCATTTTCTCAAACATTTCTCTTTGATTGCATTGTTCAATTCTTACAACAAAGTCATGTAGCTAATGATTGTCCTCTACTTTGTCAAAAAAGCAATGACTAGCAATAAGGCAGATCCAAGGGGGCTATAGAGACTTAAGTTCTTCCCATTGACATAAAAAAAAATTAAAATTTATTTGTTTGAACCTCAAAACATTGATGACAAATATGGTTTGTTAGTCCATCACAATACAATCATCTTGCACATGTTAATAAAAAGTTTTTATAAATTATTCAAACATTAATTTTTGAGTTAACTTTCCTTTGGTTTCTTCTATATCAGCTATTGAGCAACAGTTTTTTTTGCATGTCAGAAAATTGAGGATTCCCATGACCTTGGCTGATAATTGGGTTCAGAATTTTAATTCTTTTGCATATACAAAGTCCAACATAGACAATGCTATAATAAAGGGTTCAGAATTTTGTTAAAGATGAGGAATCCATGTGCTTCCATTGTTTTGATAGGGTTTTTTTTCTCAGAGTCAAAATGATACATTTAGCTTTTATCCTGATTCAGGAAGTCTTTTTTATTATTATTATTGATTTTCAACTACTGCAAATAAGATTGTGTCAACACTTCTTGGGTGCACTTTGATTAATTGTTAGACTATGGGAGACTCATGCTGCAACTTTTCTCATACTTGACTTGTTATCAATAATGGACTTCTTATGTTCATGCACTATCCCTACTTACAAGTTAGTTTGCAACAAACCATGATATCACATGATGATCCTGCAGAATAATGATATGGAATTTCATGACATTCTCATTGACACTTGCTATTCTCTGCCTTCAAGAACATGACTCATTCAAGATGGATTGATAACCTCTTTGAAATTCAGCTATCCAAAATTTTATATGCAAGTACAATGGAGTGGATTATTGCAATGTTTCCTGTATGTCATCATGGATGTCTTTTGTCAACATTTATTTTTTTGAAGAGGTATTGGATGCCATCATAATGTGTTTAATGTTCCTCATTAAAGAAAATCTCCATTTTATCTACTAGTATCCTCTGCTGGCACTTCTGCTAATAAGTGCAAGTAGCAAAGTGAAAATTAGACAGGATGTATAGTACCATGATGAATCCATGTATGGCTCTGCAAGTTTTCTTTCCTTTCTTCCTGGTTAGGCTAGAGACTACATCTAGATAACTAGGTAGCTAAAGCAATAAATATGCTAACCTGTTGCTCTGAGAATCTGGATTTGAATGTAAGTTAGAACCTCAAAAGTATTTATCGAGTAGTTTGATTTGATGGATACATTAAGTCATATCTTATATCAAGTTGCCCTAATAGAGAGTGTAGCTAATCATGTGATTTGGATGAGAATAGAAGCCTACCAGTAACCAAATGGCAGAAAGAATTTTTAAAAAATAGAAGTGTTATATAGAATAGTTTTATAAATGATTAGGATTGAAAGATTATGCAAACTTTGTTAGTATTCATTTACTCTAGATCAGTTTTTGCAATTCNAACGTGTGCCTCAACGATTTTTACTTGGACTTGAAACGTGTAACGTGTACCTCTGCTACCCGTACACGTTTAACGTTTGAACTTGTGCCTCAACCTCTCTAGTAAGTCACTCAAAGGTAGTAGCCTAGAGTCCTACAAATATCTCAACCTTCTACTTGCACCTGATCTTGCAATCCTGAAAACCAGACGTATTTTACAAGATGAGAGAAAAAAATGGTAGTCCATAGGTAAGGAAGGTGGCACCTGAAAATATGTTACTGTAAAAACAAAGCCATATTGACCAGATTAGAATTGTTCTTGGTCTATTATTCTCTTATAATATGGTGACACTTCAATCTAAACAAACAAGTTAGCATACATGTATCACAGTTCGAACAGAATTTCTTTGAATTTCATGGTAACCAAATTCCTTAATGTGTAAATCCTTATATCCATGGCCAGGACAGAAGTACAGTTATGAAATAACTATCCGAGTTTGAATTAACGAGATTACCTGTATTAATTGACAGAAGGTTTCTGTTTGTCCGACTTAGCTTGAGTAAACAGCTGGGGCTAAAAAATACAATTCAGACATCAAATTAAAGCTCTTACCCTGCAGATGCTACTGCTGATATCTGAGAGAAGTGCAAATGCTTCAGGCATGGCAAAGTGGCAAATATACAATGTTAAATTTATGGGAACAAATGTGTCATGAGACAAACCCCTGTTACCTTTAGCCTGAAATATTTTTTTTTAGTGTTTTGCAGTTTCATTATTGTAAATATTGAGATAACAAAATATATATTTTAGTTACTAAGACCTTTGTTTTATCACCCTCTCTCAACCCAACCTTGCCCCACCCACTCAAAAGCCTGAGTAACACTGGGCATAAGCTGGGCTAGTTATATATTTTAATTTGAATTAAGTGCACTAAAGCAATTATGATGGTAAAAAACAAATAAAATTATCTTAGTTAAATGATTTATTGAAAAGAAATTTAGCAAACAATTCTAAAACTTCCCCAATAAAATCGAAACTAGCTTTTTATAGAAAGAGAAGCGACTAGCTTTTTTTTCAAAAAATTTCTTTTCTCAAATTAAGAATTATTTTCGAAGATAAAATTGATAACTTTTTGGAATACCTTTAAGAATGAAGTAAAAAAAAAAAATGCATAAAACTAATTAATGTTTATTTGCATCTTTTCCTGTTCACTTTGCTGTTTAAGTTTATCGAAATGGATATTGTTTAGGGTCTGGAAATGGATTAATTCACTTTCCATTATTTCTAATGGAAAAAAATTGATTTTGTCTTTAAACAATTCAGAGTTTGAACATCCTCCAGAAATGAATAAAAATTCAAAATACGACACATCACTGATTACTGATCTATTAAATGTTTATATCAACTTTTACATAATTTTATGATGAATATAAATGATTTGCATATAAATTCATAAAAAAAAAACACAAAATGAAATTTCTCTTGCATTTTAAACTAACATTAAGAAATATAATGCATCACAACAAAATGTTGTTTACAAAGATTAACTTAATATGGTTTACATTTCATACATAAAACAAAAAATTACTTTAAACTTGATCATTTCTAAAGTTTAATTTTTGTAATCTATTATAAATGTATGTAGTATTAATTACAAATGAAAGCACTAATATTAAGTTTATGGAAATTGTTTAAATTAACAAAATTATTTAAGTAATTAAAAATTAAGTGTTTTTTTAATTTGTAAATTGTAATTTGTGATTAAAAATGAAGAGAATTTGATCAATGATTAGTTTGATAAGTAACATTTAATAATATTTAACACTTAGTAAATTTTGTTTTATAAAAACCATTATCATATTGTGATAATGGTTTTTATAAAACAATAATAAATATCAAATCAATTAACTTAAAAACTTCATTAAAAATTATATTTTTGTTATAAGTTATCTACCAACACTCAAGAACTTAAATGATTTATACACTTTAATTAATCATAAAAGACTTTGCAATCTTAAAATATATATCATGCATTAAATTAAAATATAATAAAATACATACTTTTCTCTTTACACTCGAAGTTTCATTCATTGCGCGAAGTTTACTACAACGACCATGTGACAAAACACCGGCGTGGAAATCGACATCATGACGATCGGCACTGCGGTCCTGTTCTTTTCATGTTGATGTTTCAAAATAAATTTTTATTAGCTTAAAATATTTTAATTAATAAAATTGCAAATTTTATCATTTTAAAATTTATCATAACATTACATTTTAAAACTTTGTTAAACTTTATTGTTAATTACGCAGAAAATTAATCCTAATAGTGCTGCCTCCTAGCGGATCACGTTAGAATTTTATTTTATTTTTAAAATTAATAATAGTAAAGTGAGAAAAAATATATTTGTGGAACTATAATTTTAAAATAATTTTTATTCGCTTTCTTCAATTTACAGTTTGTTATTATAACAATATTTTATAATTTTTAGAAAAATAATATTATATATCAAAAAGCGCTTTTACAAAAAGTTATTTTTATTTATTATTATTATTTTTTCTTTAAAATTCGAGATTTGTTGTATTTTGAGAGGGTCTAAAGATAATCGATTTTTATTTAGTGCTTTAAAAATCCGCTAAACTAGAAACTTTTAAAATAACTGAATATTTGGACGGCAGCCTACTGCTTTAGGGAATGGGATCGAATATGGACAGGTCAAAAACCCAGGAATTTTTCGGGGCTGCTCCGCCCGGATATGTCGAGTCTATCAACATCCGGCCGTCCCACAGTGGATCTGGCCGATAATGGGCTTGTTAAAAAACAAAGGCCTTCTTGATACTAACAGGGCAGACATTTTTTAAAAACACTAACTGCATATTATACAATTGAAGCATCCCTCGACTTGTAAGCAACACTATGATCGTGGTCGAAATCTCAGCATCAATCCAGTGGAATGCTGCCGGAAGTGACACAATTGTTGAAGTTTTCGAGATAGCATACTGATTGCCAGATTACGGGAAAAACACAAAAAAATGGCGAATAATATGGATTTCCATATTACGTTAAATTTGTTTTTGAAGTTATTTAATTAGAACAGCTTAATGAAAAATGAATATTTCTAAAAGAGAAAGAGAAATGAAATTTTTTAAAAATTTCCTTAGGAGTTATACATAACGAAATCAATTCTAAGATTAATCATTGAGATTTTAACAAGTAAAACATTTATCTGATGTTTTACGTAAATATACTGGTGTATTAAAATATTCTATTAATTACTAACCTGATCTTAATTTATTCAGTGTACATTCATCACAAAATAAATTAAATTCAAAATTGTCAACACAAAATAGAGCTCTTACGAGTTTCTTGGTGACTGCTATCTTGTTCGCTGGCTTAGCGGGCACCGAAAAAGACGCTTACAGTTTGCAGGCAGCCAAGGACTGTATACTACAAGGATAGCCAGATCCCTATTCTACAATGTTAGCCAGGAATTGCAAGTTAGTGACGTCAGCACGTGTCCTGACCTCTCTGTTTACATAGAGCAGGGTGTGCACGTGTTTAGTTTTCGCTTTTAATATTCGTCCAATTTTGTGATTAACGAAGTGATTTATTTTAATATTTCTGTAATTGTTTTATTTGACTAAGTTTTTTATAAGGTAAGATGATTTAAATATAAGTCATTAAATATTTAAAGCTATATTTTTATGTTAGGTGAAGAACAAAATGC